AATGTCAAAGGGTTCTATCAGCCCCTTGTCGAAGAACTTACGCCTTTATTGAAAATTTCTGGACAGTGGCATAGCAAATGTTCCGAGTCTTCCTTTTCTATGCCACAGAAGCGACATACATCATCTTGAAGTTTTCCAATCAGCTTCAAGTGATAACGGCTCGGACAATGACTTGGTATAAGACTTGCATATATACTTACATGGTGTCCATCCAACCGGGAAAATCGAGAAATCCGGGAAAAAACCGGGAATTCGGATTTACCGGGAAAAATGCGGGAAAACCCAAATTGCACCGGGAAAGATCATATATACTCATCCCAAGTAACAATTTTGATTTAATATTAGTCTTGTAGGCCATAATTTGGACTTGAAGAATCCTTTAAACCTTTAAACTTGTAATGTTACTTGGAATCAATCAACTTTATAGCACACACACACACACCATTATATTATCTTGCTTACAACTTTCTTATTTATCTTTTCTCTCACTCGCAATCTGTTCGCGCCCGGATCAAGCGGTGCTTTGTCGTTGTTCCTACTATGATAGCTAAATTTATAGAATTTCATATGGAAGTCATTGCCGGGCGCCGTGGTGTAGTGGTGTAGTGGTAAGCGTGACTGCTTTCTAACACCTCGATGTGTCTGGGTTCAATCCCAGCCGAGGTTGGTGGGATTTTTCTGAGGCATAAAAATCTCTGGTCACGTCTTCCTTCGGAAGGGAAGTAAAGCCGTTGGTCCCGGCCCATGTGTGTTGAATGGGTGCGATATCCTACACAGGTGTGGAAGCTGCCTTCCTTCCCGATTGCCGTCAATGGGGATGGCAATCGATGTCCGTCGGTGATTGACACTAGATTGCGGAACAGACTTCTTCTTCTTCTTCTTCTTCTTCTTATTCGCATTTCAAGCTTATTGCTTAGCGCATATTAGCTAATTGCGTGCTCTCAACTTAGTGTTCTAAATGCACTTCCACAGTTATTAATTGAGAGCTTTCGATGCCAATACCAATGCATGAATTTGTATATTGTGTGGCAAGCACAATGATACTCTATGCCCAGGGAAGTCGAGAAAATTTCCAACCCGAAAGATTCCCTCGACCGGACCGGGAATCGAACCCGCCGCCTCCGGCTTGGTAATACCGTGCCTTTACTGACTAGGCTATGAGGCCCCACAGAACAGAGACCGATGTTAAATAAAGGAAAGAATATGGAAGTCATTGGAATGCATATGGTGCCATTGCTTGAATTCTTTTGCTACAGTTTTCCGGGTGAAGTAGTTCTAGTATAAAGGCATATTCTGTTACGAAGATAGATAGATTAGCAGATTCATGCCAGCTCAAACTCCTCTGATCATGCTTGACATGGAAATGTTTGACACCGGACACAATCAACGAAATAGAAGTCATGAGATGATCGGTCTAGAGATAAATTAAACATTAATTTCTGCACTTTGTGCTAACCTGATACCAAGGTTATGAAACCTTTGAATACCGAGGTTAGTCTGTAAAACAAAAAGATCTGAATTCATACCTGTCAATCCAAAATCATGAGTTTAAATCTCACCCTGATAAAGCACGAATGATCCGAGAGTGTAAAAATTACTATAAATAAAAAAATACTTTCTTTGAAATTTTGCTAAGCATTCTCAAATTATCCTCTTGGAATCCTGTTAAGATTCTGTTAAGATTATTTAAAAAATCATCATTGGAATTTCCTTGCATTTCTCTTCTCAATTCCAATCCCCAATTGAGAATAACATATTTTGACCTTACTACATATTACATACTGCATTCATTCTTTAGGGTCAACAGTTAAGCGAAATAATAATCTATGCTTAAAGTAAGGATTTGGGTTGTATAATTGTATTGTGATGGGACTTGGGGTATTTTACCATATTTAATTGTTTCAATTAAACTGAGAAAAGTAGGTTAGACAACTGGAAAAAAAAAACCGAAAAAAAGTTTCGAAAAAAATAAAGTTTGGTTCCGATATCTCTTCGTCATCTTGAAAGTTTTCCAAGCCTTAGATGTTGAAAAATGGTCTTGAAAACTTTCCAAGCGCAAGAGATTTTTTTCAAAGTGCTGAATTTCGATAAATCTTTGAAGGCCGGAAGCTTTAGTATCGGCAAACATCGAAAAATCATTTAGTAGAATCTTCTTTTTTCAGAAGATCTTTTCCAAGCCCATCAAATTGTATATTCTACAAGTCCGGAATCAACAAATTTCCAATCCCAGATTTTAGGTAAATTCTATGTTTAAAATCATGATATCTCTTCTATACTTTAGAAACATTAAATTTTTCTCGAACTGTGAACTTACATTCTAACATATAGTAAATTATACTATGCTTTCTTGTTTTGTTTGAATTGAAGATCACGAATTACTAAGTACCAGCATTAAAAAAAACGTCCAATATCTCTAAAATGTAGACCAGAATCTTACAACTCTTTTGAAGATTGAGATTTTTCCATATCTTTAATATCTTTCCGATCAATAAATGTCACTATTTTAGAGTCACTATTTTTCAATTTTTTTCGTTATTGTAGTCAATACTATTGTATAAAATACCCACTACCAGCCCTGCATATTGTAGAGAAATTCTGCTGACAAAATTTCATCATTATCTCTAAAGGGTTATTTTTGAACGTCTTTTTTGTTTAAGGTAGAGTTTTGTTTTTTAATAACCGGGAAAAAACCGGAAATTGATAAAAGAAATTTGAATGGGCACCCTGTACTAAGATCTTTCTTAGAAAGTTCCAGGATTTTGTGGGTCACAGAAATGTTTGGATTAATGAATCGCTTCGACTGCCTAGCAATAGAAGTGTTCTTCCAGTTTTCCTCCACTTTTGAAGATTCCCACGCTTTTAGCTCCATTTTAAGAGATGCAGCCGATAAGCCACAAAAGGGCTCTGGCCCGATGAACTTATGAGAAGATCCGAGTCTTGTTAATGCATCAGCTCTTTCATTTCCCTCAATCCCGCAATGACCAGGAACCCAATATAAGTTGACAAGACAATTTTTGAAGTGATTGAACACACTCCCAGACAAGTTTTGATGTACATGTCGCCGACTTTAAAGCATTTAGAGCAGCTTGACTGTCGGACATGACGCATATATTTGAACTCTTATTGTTTCTACGAAAACATATAATGGAACACTCTAAAATTGCTTGGATTTCAGCTTGGAACACAGTCGGCCATCTGCCCATAGGAACCAATATGTCTATCCCTGGGCCAGTTACTCCTGCTCCCACTTGATTGTTCAATGTTGAACCATCTGTATAAAAAACAATCGATCCTGGATGAAGAACCGGGCCACCAAATTGCCATGAATTACGCTCAGGGTAAACTACTTGAAAAAGTCGATTGAAATTATATCTTTTCTCCATCCAGTCTTCGTTGTTCCTTGCTAGAGAGTTGATACTAATAGTTTTTAGAATCCTAAGATGTCCTCTAAGGTCTCATTCAAAGAGTTTCACTGACCTTTTAATCCTTAGAGCACACTTTTCGGCTTCTAATTGTACAAATTGATGCAATGGTAGCATATAAAGCAAAGCATCCAATGCCTTCGATGGTGTACTTCTCATTGCACCTGTTATTGAGAGAGTTTTTCTAACTTTCTCTGAGCAACACTCTCTTTTGTTTTTGGCCACCAGACCAATACACCATAAGTAATCCTGGGTTTCACAATTGCCGAGTAAATCCAATGGATCATTTTCGGTTTCAGTCCCCACTGTTTACCGAATGTTCTTTTGCATATCCATAGAGCATAAGTAGCTTTGTGTATTGCCTGCTCTAGATGCTCAAGTTAGTACCTAGGATACATCAACGAGTAAGCAGCGGAGTACCTGCTCCTACAGGAAATTAAATTTAAGTTTACCTAGCTTCTAAGTGAAAAGATACCTGGGTTAATATATATTCGGTAACATGAGATGTTTTCTTCAGTTGAGTACTAGTACAAGACACTGAAGAAGTCTGCATATTGTAGACGAAATACGCGTATCTGTCAAGGATCAATTAAGGTAGTGACATTAAATGGAAAGTACTAATTCTTATTTCTCTCTTTATACACGTATTCCACTAAGACGCCCACATTCATCAGGGGTGATTTAATGGTTAAAACGTGAATCCGCTGATCCGGTAACCGCAAAATTACACTTGGGGTTATTAAAAACACAAACCTGAACATGAAACATCATTACCACTGTTGAACAGCCTGCTATCATAGTTACTCGTTCACAAAAATCCGTTTCAATCTGAAATTATAACCGTTTGAAAAATGAATCATTTCTGAAAGTATGATTTAGCGGTTAGCGCTTCATGTGCCCACGTCTGCTGATCTTCTGTAAAGACTCAGTTTTATAAATCTGAACTATTGATCAGATTCACCCACAAGCAAATTTGAAAAGTAGTGCTTAATAAATGTGAAGTCATTTCGTCCATCTCACTGAATATTTTTTTCTAAATACACGTGGCATTCCAGTTAAAAACGCACTTAAAGGGCCCAATACACTGAAATCATTCGAAAATGTCATAACCAGTTTTTTTCCAGGACACTAATTTCAGATTGCAAAACCAGTCATGAAATTTCTCTTGTCATTTTAGACCAGATGACGACTGCTTTACGCAATCTGAATTGATGCGTCAGAAAAACCTGAATTTCAAATTTTTGAAAATACACCAAAGTTAATTCCACCTTAAGTAATTTCATGCTTCTTTCAATTATATAATTCAAGTACAGAAAGCTATTCTTATTTATTACTGTATGGTCCACGCCAGAAATCGTTCGACTTATTTCCGACTGCTCCATCCGGCTGGTACTACTTTTGTATCCAAACTTTTGACGATCCGTTTACCAATAAACCTTCCAAATTAACGATCACGAACTTCGCCTCCTGCCTCATTACGGTCGCGTATGCCTTTCATTAAACTTAAACGAATTAATGAATAAAGGAAAAGAAAATTTAAATTTCTTTTATGTTTTTCTTTCTTCCCGCTCTTTATAGGTGAAAGAACTTGAAAACACCTTCGTAATGCCTCGATCTGCGAGAAGTAAGTGGAATAACGCCCTTACAGCCAACAACAACATCATCGACATCAACAATAATAGCAATGTCAGCTGTCGGGCGTGAGAGAGCGAATCACATCGGAACTTGGAACAACCGGCAGAAGTGGCAGCATCAGCGGCAACGAAAACTGTGAAATGTGACAAATTGCTTCATCTGTGGCTCTGAAATAAGTGCACATTTCGTCTCGTCATAGATTACTTATCCCAGTTGATCGCAGTTCATATTTCATGAAGCTTCACCATCACCAAAGAAACAGCAATGTTCGACGATATAAAAATGTGCCTCCTGGATCTGATCAAGGTAAATGAAAATTTCTGTTGTACAGTTGAAATTATAAGGCGGCTATGATTCTTAAAATTTGCAAATTTAAGTTTTAGTAAAACTGTTTATTCTTCTTTATATTATTCTTATTTCAGGTGAGCCCCAAGTCGAAAAAGTCCCTCAAAGACATGTCGGCTGGCTACTCGGCGGATTTTATGAAAAAGTACAACGACGTCAACATAATTCACTTCAACGAGAACATGTCGATGGTCAACAAGCTAGACAATGTTCGGTTCTCACCGTCGAACTATACCAACCTGTTCAAGACGAACCCACTGCTGGAGGGCAAACGGAGCAAATCGTTCCGTGATTGGGGCGTGGAAAGTGCTAGTTTTGAATTTTCCTCGGATGATCGCGACACGCTGACGATGACGAGCTGCTCGCACTACTCCGGCGACGGTGATCATTACCACCTGTTGAAGTCTATTTCGCAGCACAGCAATGATGAACACTGCCGACGACTGTTGGGCGAAGGCGGATCGGCTGAGGAGGACGATGAAGACGATGACGATGGAATTATCATGAACCACTACAGCTTGGAAGAGTGCTTTGCCGGTGGGCTGGTATCGCAGTTGGATTCATTTTGTACGCTTTGTACCTCTTCGTTCAGTTTTAGCAACTGCAATAACTGCGAGAAATCTGGCTGCGGCTCGAAGTGTAGCGGCGATGGCAGTACGGTAGGCGAAATTGACACTGGCTGCGTGTGTTTGCCAAAGCATGGGTAAGTAGACGAAAGCTTCGCAAAATGTGAAGCTTTTTAAGGTGGTGGCGATGACTTGTTTTACGTTCAGTGCAGTGTGGGGTGAAGCTTGAAGTTTTGAACATGAAAGCTTTTCATTCTGATTTCAAACGAGTAGAGCTTTGCTGAATGCATTGAAACACGGGTAACAAATTTTGCTTCAGTTTTCAGCACGGTCGTAGAGTTTCTTCAAATTTGAATTATGTTTACACACTTTCGCTACAACAAAGGTTTCTCATCGACTGAGTAAATATTTTCTCGAATTGCATAGCGGAAATGGCTTTAATGTTAGCCTATAATATTGGGCCCATCGCTAAAAATCTACTATTTATCCATTTCATCTAGATGAACGCGTCATTGGGACAGTACTAATGGATATTTTTGTCACTATTGAAAATTTAGTCGTTTGCTGAATTTATGTATGGGCCCAAATTAGGGGCATTTAGGTCGACATTACATCAATTTCCCTATCACTTATATTCAACTATTGTGCCGTTATTGCAAAAATTAAGAGTAATCAATAAAATGGTTATGTTTTCAAGGCATACTTACACTGCCGATGAGGGTAACTCGGTAACCAGTGTTATGATAAATTTGGAACCGTGTACCCACTAACAATTACCGGTTGTACTCTTTTTTAGAAGTAATGCAAATTAATGCAAATTTTCAATAACTCATTACCCTCTGGAGGATCATCCGTGCTAACTACCATGACATCACTGTCAATAACTGAGTCAAATACATTTAAAAATTTCAAAAAAAGGGTACTCAGTGAATGTTTAAAATTGTTCTTACTTTTCCTGGGAAAACTACTTGAAAATGAGATACAGTTTTACTCAGTCTAGAAGTATACTAAAAGACTTACGGTCAGAGCGTAAAATTATTGACTGCCTAGGCTGAATGTGAAAGCACTGCACTATTCAATCCATTTCTCAGTGCAGACCGTTTGTACCAAACGGTAAAGGACGACGCAATGAAAGAGCCAACAAAAACATTCAGTCACTCACGAGCAGGCGACGCACACCGCTTGCCTTCGCTCACACAGCATGTAATTGAGTCATTTTGCCATAGAAAATGTACGCTCAGTCCTTCAAAACAAATGTTGAGTACCATCACTTCAGAATAAACGGGTTGACAGAGCTACTGACTGAGTGCTCGGCTGTCAGTGACTCGTTTACCTCTCAATCATTCAGACTCTCACGAAGCAGTGAATGATGAGGCAAATGGCAGTTCATATTCATATCAAAATGAATCAAAGAACCTGACTGTTTTGCGCACTGCTTACGGTTTAGCGACTTGCAGAACATTTAATTGTTTGTGAGAAAGTTTGAACATACTGAGAGGTCCGGAGAACTTTGAGATTTGGGAGTAATTGCTTTCATAAACAAACATATCAATCACTGTTTTCTCGCGAATAAAAGAACAATCTCGTGAAAAAACTATACCAAATGAATTAAATGATAGATGATTCATCTTCCTGTTTGTGTTGTTGGTTTTTGAAATTGAGCTTTAATTCGCAAGAAATCGTCAAATGAAGTGATTGTTTACAAAAGCAATTACGCCCTCTTCTCGAAGTTCTCCGGAGGTAAGCATATATCATCGGCAAGAGACGTGTGTGTGAGAAAATTTGCGAACAAATCTAAGGGCACCGGTGTGATTCGAACCCACAATTCCCATTCAGTACACGGGTGCATTGCAACGGTGGACCTATATGGTCTACACCCTGGCCTTTTTGCGCCAGCGTTCTCTAATACACAACAATCGTCTATTATCGACGATATGTTCTTGTACCGCAACCACTCAGTATCAGTCGATGTGAACAAACTCAGCTCATTTTTGTTGGGCATCCTTACATGCTGAAGTATTTCCAGTACAGTATGAAATGCAACAGTTGAGCTGCCGGCCTCACCTTCGACCACCGGGCCGTAGTGATGAGTATCATCAATTACTTTTTGATTTACGGTTTAGCGACTTGCAAGTCCCTAATAGACTTAGTGAAATATCTCTCCTTTATCCTCAAAGTCAAGAAATTTTCCCTGGAAAATCGAGGAAAATTTAACTCATTCCCTGATTAATCCCACTTTTTGCAACTTTTAGACAAATTCCACTCAATTTTGAGTTACTCATATATAAAAAAATGTGACGAAGAATTTCTTACGTTTTAAGTACTTACAAGAACTGTAGTGGTAGGGCTCATGTTTAAGCCCCCTTCTGTATAATTTCTACGTCAGAGAAATTGACAATTGTCTAAGGGACAACTGCACGTTGAGACAACTTGCAGATGACGGAGTAGTGTCTATGACAGGACCCAGAGAGGCCGACCTGCAAGGACCCTTACAGGATACCTTAGACAATTTGTCTACTTGGGCTATCCAGCTAGGTATCGAATTCTCCACGGAGAAAACTGAGTTGGTCGTTTTTTCTAGGAAGCATAGCCCAGCACAACCAAAGCTTCAACTTTTGGGTAAACCGATCACTCATTCTATGTCCTTCAAATATCTTGGAGTCTGGTTCGATTCAAAATGCACCTGGAGATCCCACATTGAGTATCTGAAGCGGAAATGCCAACAAAGGATCAATTTTCTCCGAACAATTACCGGAACGTGGTGGGGAGCCCAGCCGCAAGATCTTCTAACGTTGTACCGGACAACGATTTTATCGGTTTTAGAGTACGGTAGTTTTTGCTTCCAGTCGGCGGCTAAAACGCACATCATCAAACTGGAACGGATCCAGTATCGCTGTCTTCGTATCGCGTTAGGATGCATGCACTCGACTCATACGATGAGTCTCGAAGTGTTAGCGGGCATGTTGCCACTCTCTGATCGGTTTTCGGAATTATCCCTCAGGCTCCTCACCCGTTGTGAAATTATGAACCCACTGGTGATTGCAAACTTTGAGAAGCTTCTTGAGCTAAACCCTCAAACTCGTTTTATGTCATTGTACTACGTGTACATAACACAGGATGTCAGCCCTTGGCAGCATAATCCCTATCGTGTTTGCTTCTCCGACTTCGACAGTTCTGTTCATTTTGATTTATCAATGACGCAAGAGATTCGCGGAATCCCAGAGCATCATCGTTCCATGATTGCTCCGTCAATTTTCGCTGCAAAGTTTGGCCAAGTTGATTCCGCAAGGTCGTTCTTCACAGATGGATCACTAATAGAGGCGTCCGCTGGTTTTGGTATTTATAACGAATTTCATAGCGCCTCTCGAATGCTTCAAGCTCCTTGTTCCGTATATGTTGCTGAGCTGGCGGCAATACATTGTACGCTAGAAACGATCGCCTCACTTGCACCAGATCATTATTTTATTTTTACGGATAGTCTCAGTTCTGTCGAGGCTATTCGCTCCATGAGGCCGGTAAAGCACTCCTCGTATTTTCTCATGAAAATACGAGAGCTTCTAAGTGCTTTATCTTTAAGATCTTTTGTCATCACCTTTGCATGGGTCCCATCTCATTGCTCGATTCCGGGCAATGAGAAGGCGGACTCGCTTGCAAAGGTGGGCGCTATGGAAGGCGATATTTACGATCGACAAATCGCCTACGACGAATTTTTCTTCATTTATCGTCAACAGTCCCTCGCCAGCTGGCAAAATAAATGGAGTGAAGGGAGTTTGGGACGATGGTTATATTCAATCATCCCTAAGGTGTCGAAGTGTCCTTGGTTCAAGGGGTTGGATGTGGGTCGAGACTTCATTCGTATGATGTCTCGCCTCATGTCCAATCACTACTCTTTAAACGCTCACTTGTTCCGTGTTGAGCTGGGGGACAGTAATCTCTGTGAATGTGGACAAGGTTACCAGGACGCAGATCACATTATTTGGTCATGTGCTCAGCACCGTTGAGTCAGATCCGAGTTGTACGATTCCCTTCGGGCTCGAGGTAGACAACCTAATGTTCCAGTTCGGGATATTTTGGCTAGACGCGATCTGGAGTTTATGCAACTCATATATGTTTTCTTGAAGAATATTAACCATAGATTGTAAGTTTGATTAACCTTGTGTTTAGTTTGTGTTTTGTATGTGTGTGTGTATTTTTTTTTGTAGATTTGTTTCTGTTATAATTGTATAATTACAGAGTTGATATAACGTCGATAGGATTAAGTATTTGTTTTAGAAATAGTGAAATTTTTTAATCATAAATCATATTCCAAATCTCCTTTTCCCTCTCCCGATCCAAACAATTGTCATCCACTAACCTCGAGAAGACCGCGAGTAATCGGTTCCAATCCTTTAATTTTAGATTTAAGACATTTATAATGTATAAAGAAAATGATAACTTGGCTCTGTAAAGTTTATTCGAATGAGCCTGTACAAATAAAGTAATTAACAAAAAAAAAAAAAAAGAACTGTAGTGGTAGTCACAACAGTATGTAGTGGATAGACAACATTTTCCAGAGCTGCAACATTGTGCACACTGGCCTACTCCCAGAAATGGAGCACCCCTCAAATTTTCTCGTTATGAGCTGTCACTTTGAGAAGTCTGCGTTCGTGCACATCCGGTAAGCACCCCACCAGCGGTTTGAGCTAACTTCCATCACGACGTGACCTTCATTATCAATCAATAGTTAATAAAAAAAAATCGTATTCTTAAAAATCGCCTTCGAACATTACGAAGAATTCCACACAAAAATCATTTCTTTCGTACAGAACCTTCAAAAGATAATTTTGTAGGTTTAATGTATTGGTACAAAAGTATTTTCATATATCATAGAATTAGTAAAAAATATTTTTTTTTTTATATCTTGTCAACGTCCGCTAGGCCGTCCCTTATTTTCTGAAATTCGACCAATTTGTAAATTAAACCTTTTAAAATGTTCGTTTTGGTTAGAAAACAATCATATAAAAATTTGAATTTCGTACGTTAACGTTTTGAGGTCGCTCATCGGCTCTAAATGAATGGTAGTGTACGAGACCCCCCATGCCACGGCAAGCACGCTTCCGTAGTGTATGCGTTATAGGTAAAAATACATCGTTTGTGG